TCCCTAATCTCCGGATGTTGATGCAAAGAACCACAAAGTTTATCTTGGTTCGAACATCCCGGTGCCCTATGTCAATCCGAGATCGATCTTGTATTCCTTGGAATGAAATGCTTGTAGTAGGGGTTACAAGGCTGGGCCGAAGAGGAGCTAGTCCCGGATCTGCGTGGGAGCAGTGCGAGTCATTTTGGAGACGTTGCTCTCGTAGGTAGTGAGGCGTGTACTCACGAATCTCGTGAGCCTCTGCGTGTATTCGTCTGTCTCTGTCCCTAAAGCGGTCGATCTCTCCTTTTATAGTTGAAGGGGGGACGGGGTGATATATGTTTGTTGTCTGGCGTCTTGTGAGCGGTGGCGTGCACGGTCCTCGTATGGCTTACCGCCTTGTGGCGGCATAGTCAGCAGGCGGTCTTGTCCTTGATCACTTTGGAACAACAGCGGTCCTGCAACCGGTCTTGTGCGGCGTGGGAGCTCCGTGATAGCTTAAGCGTGAGGCATGGCCAACTGCCACGACGTCTTGGTCGTCATTGCGTTAACGGTGTCCAAAGCGAGGCTCGATTGGTCTTGAGAGCGAGCCATCGTGAGGGCTCGTGGCCACGCGCGAATCTGGTGTCCGAGGCCACGAAGTGGATTACCCGAGAGCTTGGAGGGAAGCGATTGGTCCTATACTGCCCGATTCCAGGCTATAGTGACCTCGTCGACTCCCCACGCACTTTGTTCACAGGCGAGGAATTAGGTAGCATAGTGCAAGATATGAGGCGCCAGATTATGGGCGCGATCTTTGGTACAATGACGGTAATTCCCCTTTCGGCCTCGTTTCCCGTCCGTCAGCCACTTCATTGCTGTATTGCAGCAAGCCGTCACGTGCATACCGACGTTCTCGGGGAGTGGTTGGAGCGCGTTAATTGGGCGTGACGTTTTGTCGAGAAGTCGGTCGAGAGCGGAGGCGGCGAGGTTGTTGCCGAGCCGGCCTCAGCGAAGTCGGAGAATCGATAACTCGTCAGGAGCCTTGAAGCGGAAGAGGGCCGAAAGCGGCGAAGTTGGCCTTTTCGTCAAAGGGCCTTTTACGGCACGGGGCCTCGCAACAAATCGGAGAATCAGTAGAGACCTCGTGGTTATCCTTTGGCTTTGATATTGGCAAGGTCTAAGTAATCTTTTCGGTTCTTACTTAGGGTACCCTTTTATGGTATCCGACACAACCGCAACTTTGGTAGGAGTCGAGGACCACCAAACCACTGTTCAATTTATATGGACGATCCATGCTATAATGTGGAGGTTAAGGTATGTGGGGCACGGTGTCGTGATGGGGATACTCTTAAGCGCTCCTCTCCTTCAAAAACTTAGAGGGAGGCCACCAAGAGTAAAAAGGGCCATTTAAGTAATTCAAAGAGAAAAAAAGGCGCACACGCACACTAGATGAGAACGAAAATCTCGCATGGACGGTGCTGACTCGATCATTTCTGTTCACTCGCGTCACTGCGTCAGGTGTTTACCCATCTACCCATCATAACACATCATTGCCCATGTTAACGTCAAGCCGTGGGCCGTGGCAGAAAGAATCTCCGTCCACGTCTAGGAATCAAACACACGATAGCCTTCAAAAAAATCAAACACACGATCAAAGCAAACGAAACACAAAGACATCCATCCTCCCGGCACAAAGTATACAAGCAGAACCGTAGAAGACTACAAGTAGAACCCATGCGGTGCCGGACGTGAGGACGAGGTGTCGATTATTGTCCTATTCATTTGGCTTATAAGACATATATTTTTAATGAACGAATAATATTTTTCTCTCGCGCCAAATCAGCCACGATAGTTCGGTCATGGCTCAGCGTGGCGGACCGGGCATATACCGGACCAAGCACCCACGCTTATTTACATCCGTCCCCGTCGGCCGTCGGAAACTCCCCACCCCCGCATTTTCTCCGCGTTTTGTCAAGGTCAACGTCACGCCTCGCCCGCCATCCTTTCCCACCCCACTCTCTCTCCCTCTCTTTCTCTGCAGTCTGCACGGCGGGGCTCCACTCATCCACCACCCCACGTCAAACCAAACCCGGCCGCGGAGAACGCTAGCTTCTAGCTACCCTCCCGGTCTCCGCTTCTCCCGCACGCGCAGGCTGCTGCTGCCTCCATCCTGCGACCGCCGCTTGCCCGCTTCGTTCGCGGAACAAAAAAGTGAGCCGGACCGACCGACGACCCAGCCGAGCCCACGACAGGGAGGCTGTCGGAGCCGCGCAGGCCTTGCTCCGGTCAGCCACGGCGGCATCGGCATCGGCATGGCGGGGCGCATGGTGCGGAGCTGCGTGCAGACGGCTCAAGGCGGCCAACTCCGTCGTGGGGCTCGCCGGCATGGCCGTCATCCTCTACGCGCTCTGGATGCTCCGCGCCTGGTACAGGGAGGTCGCCGACCTCCACCTCCACCAACGCCTCCCGGTCCCCTGGTCAGCAACCGCTTCTCCTCCCTTCCCCCTCATCCTCCTCCTTCCTGCTTGTGGGCAGATCTCGGCCTCCGTTTCTGTCTCCGCTTGCGCGCGCGCTCTAGGAGTCATCAAGGTCTTAGATTTGCAGCTGTTGTTGCCCACAACTTCGCTGTTCTTGATTTCTTCTCCCAACCTGTCCTTCGCTTCGTGAAATGCGTTTGCTTTCAGGCCGAATTCGTAGCAAACTGTATTTACCGTTCTGTTCCATCGGACCTTTTTCATTAGAATTAGACGTAGTTCCGCGACCAATCGACGATGCCGTGCAGGAATGCGAGATTAGAAGCGCTGGCGTACAACACGAAGCTACCCAGCCACCGCCGAAAGCGCTTTTTAATTCTCCCGTGGCAGTTAAAGGCTACTCGTTTCGGATGGGGTGATGGGCACGGCCTCGTCTCATCATGCCACTATCGCGGCAGATTTGGCTACAGTTAGTGACGCATGACAAGGAAGAAACCACTGTCCTATCCTTCTAGTGGACGCTAGTGCTATTCGGTTGGCACGGTGATCGGCTTCCGTGTTGCTGTTTTGGACTTGTGCTTTAGAGGAGATTTTTGGTGGCGGCTGTAACCTGCAATGTGGCGTCAGATCGGGACGCATGATGTGATGCAATGGACGGTCTAACTCAAAAGTAGATCCGCAGTTAGTTGATTGGTGGGGCAAGAGCACTGATGAAGAATATACAAAGAATGACGATGCTGATGTTAAACAACCAAATAGTGAGCATGTTTAGCCGTCGCTTTCCTCATCCTAACAACTGTAGTATTAATATTAATCAAATGGCTTTCCTCATCCTAACAACTGTAGTATTAATCAAATGAGCCAAGCGCCCATGCTTTTGCTGCCATTACGAATCTAAAATGTTAGTGCGGCTTGGAACCAATACTTTAAGAATAAGTAGTTAAATCTGATTTTTTAGCACCATGTTGAAAAATTATGCATTTCAATATTTCAGAGTATATACTGTGGAACTGGTTGTTTTAATGAGAAAAAAATACCGGTCATGCAGGTTCATCTACACATTTCTTGGCCTAGGGATCTTTCTGTGCCTGCTGACTTGCTCTGGGCATATTGCTGCTGAATCTGCAAATGGTCACTGCCTCTCTTGTGTATCCTTTTAGTCGGTAGGTACATGGAGTTCGATGTTGTTTCATATATCAGCCTCCATTGCTTGTATTTACTTGCTGATTACCTATGTTGAATTGCTAGATACATGGAGTTACATGTTATCTGATATACCATACCAGCTGCCATCACTTGGGTTTTGCTTGTTGACTACCCATAGTGAATCAGTGGTTAAAAGCTCTTGCTGGTTTATCCAAGGTTTCCGGTTAGGTGCAGACACTACACTTTTTTTCCTGGGCTATATAATTATATGGACATAAGATGCCAAAAAGAACTAAATTGAGAGTGAGAGTGCAGGCCTCAAATTGCAGTTACATTCTTTCGAGTTCTATAATGTTTAGTGCAGTGCGACCTCACTGTGATATTGGGTCTCTTTTTCCTTAACCCCACACGTAGTACATGGCCATCGATATTTGTGCTTATTATAATGGAAGGTGCAATCACTATGGATGTATTTCTGAATAGCAACTGGGAAGAGGTAAGGAGCTTAGCTATGAACTTTGATACTTTATGATTTTTCCTTATATCTGCTATTTTATGTCCTGACAGAGTATTTGATAATTCTCAAACCTTCAGGATTTCCCCGCTGACCACATCAGGCAAGTTTGAGGATTTCAAGGACTTTGTGAGATCAAATTTTGAGATATGTGAATGGGTAGGCCTCTCAGTGGTGGCTGCTCAGGTTAGATTCTGCTGTATCTCCACTGCAGTAAAAGGCAATTGTTCATTATTGTAGAATTCTACCTTGCATATGACTAGTAAATGTTGTACAAGTTCTTGTGAATGGAGTTAGAAGACACTCGACACTAGTATGTGCAACTTAGTGTGGTGGGGTTTGAACATTCTGCCTTTGAAGAATGCTTAGAAACAAATCGCCACTAGCATATGCTTTCTTAAGAATGTTTGAGAAACAACCAAACATGACCGTGCAATGATTATACCTCATTTGTTTAAAATTGTTAATAATCATTTTTCTAAATGAAATCAGGTGCTGGCATCCTGTTTTGGGGGATTCAAATTTTGCTTGACATGTTTCTGTTTAATTTGAGTAGCTGCATCATCAAAATTGTACTTTCTGAAGAAAAACTAGACTTTTGAGCATGAGTGACCCTCTATTAACATATTTAGTTTTCAGGTGTTATCAATCATTCTGGGATGGTTCTCAGGACCCTTGGGCCTGACCGTGAGACTGACTATGACAGTGATGATGACACAACTGTGCCTGCGAGGCTGCCTCTCTTGAGAAATCAAGCTCAACATGGTTCAGACTATGCTGAACCTAATACATCTCGTAGGAGTGATTCATGGAAATTGCGGATTTTAGACAAGGTAAGATGTTTCCCAACAGGGACTTCCGTTTGCAGCTTATTACATTCTAAATGTGCTCACCATTAATAAAGCCTTGCGACCTTTTATTTCAGGTCAACAACTAAGATCTTATAATGATCTCATACAACAGACCCTTCAGGAAAGAGTTTTGCTCCTAGGGTTTCGGAAGGATGATAAGATTATACCCTTTTTTTTCTTCTTGAGGAGAGATGATTAGCAGAAGCGATAGAATAATCCTTAGTTCTGAATGTCTACTTTATTTCCTTTGGCAAAAGTTTAGCTTTGTCATATCGAATCTATGATACCAAATAGGAATATTAAACATAGACTAATTATAAAATTAATTACATAGAGACGAATCTATTAACGGGGTGTTTGGATGTAGGGATTAAAGTTTAAGAGGTGTCTCATCAGATGTCACATGAGGTGTCGTATAAGGTGTACGGATACTAATGAAAAAATAAATTACAGAATCCGTCAGTAATCCGCGAGACGAATTTATTAAGTCTAATTAATCCGTCATTAGCATATGTTACTGTAGCAAACATTGTCACATCATGGATTAATTAGGCTTAAAAAATTTGTCTCGCAAATTAATCTTAATCTGTGTATTTAGTTTCATAATTAATCTATATTTAATACTTCATGTGTCAAACATACGATGGGACAACGAAAGTTTAGGAACTAGAACCAAACACTCCCTAAGTCTAATTAGTCCATGAATTGACAATGTGGTGCTACAGTAAATATTTGCTAGTTATGGATTAATTAGGTTTAATAGATTCGGCTCGTTAATTAGTCTACTCCTATGCAATTAGTTTTATAGTCAGCTCATGTTTAATCCTCCTAGTTAGCATCCGAACGTCCGATGTGACACGACTAAACTTTAGCCCTTGGATCCAGACACAACCAGGTGTTTGATTCCCTCTCCTAAAATTTAGTCCATGTCACATCAAATATTTGGACACTAATTTGGAGTATTAAATATAGACTAATTACAAAACTAATTGCATAGATTAAGACTAATTTACGAGACGAATCTATTAAGTCTAGTTAGTCTATGATTTGACAATGTGGTGCTATAGTAAACATGTGCTAATGATAAATTAATTAGGTTTAATAGATTCGTCTCGCGAATTAGTCACGACTTCTATAATTAGTTTTATGATTAGTATCAAACACCCGATGTGATATCTTATGTGACATCTCATAAACTTTAGTCTCTGGATCGTGGATGGGGACGTTAGATTTCACCTGGAGGGCCAGGGATCGTCAATCCACGCTGTTGTTGCTGCTGCTGCAGGGATGAAAACGGATGAAAACGGGCGGAAAAACTCCTCTCCCATCTCCGTTTCTATATTTTTAGCGAAAACGGGATCGGGTTCGGGAAAAAAACGAAATTAAAAACGAGTGAGGATATACGGAAATACGGAAACATACAAATACGGATGGAGAGCCGAAAAAGGAAGTTAGAATAACGTGATCAAATATTCTTGAGTATACATAAACAAAGTCACAAAATAATATGCACGTACGAAATTATCGGTCCAATATTCACTAATATACCATGTATTAACATGTTAACATGCATAATTTGTGATTAGTAGGTTTATGAACATATCAATTTCTAGACATATCTCATATAGATTGAAAACGGGATGAAAAATGAAATAAATACGTAAAAACGGGATCTCGCGGAAACGGACAGAAAAACCCCTTTCTTGTTTCCGTAAATATGAAAACAGGATCCCACAAATACGAAAACGGACGGAAGAAAGTAGAAAACGGAACGGGCCGGAACGGGATTTTTTTCGTCTGTTTTCGACCTTATGCTGCAGTGCAAGGCTGAGAAGCTCCCCCGAACTGGTTGCTAAACGGAACTTTAGTTCCCTATCACATCGGATGTTTAGACACTAATTTAGAATATTAAATATAGACTAATTATAAAACTAATTGCATAGTTTGAGACTATTTTGCGAGACAAATCTATTAAACCTAATTAGTCTGTGATTCAACAATGTGGTGCTACAGTAACTAATATGCTTGTCTGCTGTCAGATTTCCTATTTGCATCACCTGTCAATGCTGGAGGATGAAAAATGAAGAGTAAAATGCACGTCGAGTCTTCAAACTTTTGAGGCGTTCCCATCTGGTTCCTTGAACTAAAAAAGCGACCACCTAGCTCCCTAATCTACTGCCGTCGCACACCAACCGTCCAAAACTCGCAACGTCAACACCAGTATCTGATGTGGCCATGCCATGGTGGCACTTGGATGTTATGGGGCCACGCCAGCAGTGGTGGGCCTACTGGGCGGCTGCCTCATCCTCCTCCTCCCGGGCGTTCAGTGTTTCTCGCCACGGCGCCCTCCACGTCGCAACCAGCCCCCAGGCGCCGTCCATCTCCGTGGTTCTCGAACCAAAGACCACGGCCATGACGCCGGTCAAGGCCTCTGCCTGGCCGCGGCTGGCGCCAGTATATAATGCCCAAAAGCCGGGTGAAAGGGTCGAAATGGCGGACTAGAGGGGGGTGAATAGTCTTTTCTAAAATTAATCGCGATCCTACTAACCGATACAAATGCGGAATTAAAACAATCGGTCTAACCAAGACTACACCCCTCTATATATGTTCACTAGCACCTTGCTAAGATACCAATTATGCAACAAAGGTGCCGGGCTAGCTAGAGCTCTCCTAAACATTTCTAAGAGCAAGGTTACACAAATCTATGCCACTAGTATTTTAAGCAACAAGAGAGCTCCTACACATGCTAGTAAGCAAAAGCACAAAGCTAACTATGCTCACTAGCAATGCTCAATAACAAGGCAACCAATGCCTAATTAGAGAGCGCAAGTACTTAGCTACACAAACTAAGCAATGTAACTAATAAGGTTACTAAAACCAAATTAGCCACGTAAGGGAGCTACTTCTATGCTACACAAGCAAGAAGGTAATTAGCAAGCTACACAAGCTATCTAATTACAAGAGCAACTACACAAACTTAATATATATGAAAGTAAATGCAAGCTTGTGTAATGGGAAGCAAACCAACGGGAAGAACAAGGTTGACACGATGATTTTTCTCCTGAGGTTCACGTGTTTGCCAACACGCTAATCCCCGCTTGTCGACCGGCTCACTTGATGGTTCGGCTACTAATTAGCATCACCCGCTAAGCCCGCACGTCGGGCGCCGCAAGAACCTACCCCTTGAGTGAGGGTAGCTCAATGACACGCTTTACTAAAGTTGCTCTTTCATGCTTCATGGGCCATGGCAGCACAATGCCCTCACAAAGCTCTTCTCCGGAGCCCCCGCACAAGCTTCTTGCGGGCTTCGGACGGAGACCACCACTAAGCCGTTTAGGAGGTGGCAACCTCCAAGAGTAACAAGCACCACCGGCTTGCAACTCGATCACCTAGTGCCACTCGATGCAACCTCACGATGCAATCAAGACTAGAATCGCCACTCACACAATCGAAAGATGACTATCAAGTATATGTGTGATGGAGGGCTCCCAAGCACTCACAAGCATGGACACTAAGTCCCCTTAGGTGCTCAAGATTCGCCATGGCCGAGGGCCACTTCTATTTATAGCCCCAAGGGCTAAACTAGCTGCTACCCCTTCATCGGGCAAAAAATCGGACGACCGGACGCCCGGTCCGATTGACCGGACGCTAGACTCAGTCGTCTCGGCCACGCGGATACTTGCCACGTGTCCCCTCATTCAAACGCTATTCGGCTGGATCTCAACGGTCATCCGTCGACCGGACGCTCCAAGATGAACCGACCGGACACAAGCAACCCCAGCAGTCCGGTCGCTTCAAGAAGGTTCCGAAATGACATTTCACGATCGGACGCGTCTCGGCCGATCGCGATCGGACGTAGCACCGATGTCCCGGCCACTCTCCAGCTCTCGCTTTCGCCTGCCACATGCATCGTCATCGCTCACCGACCGGACGTTGAGGGTCTCGTGGTCCGGCCACTACGTGATCAGTCCGTCCGGCCCACTCTGTGAGAGACCACATCTTTTCTCGTCTAGGGCGCCGTGGAGTTTCTCCTTTCGCCCATTTCTTCACCGAAGTTGATCCACATCAACTCCAACTTCATCTCCTTTGTAAATGTGCCAACCCCACCAAGTGTACACCACCATGTGTATGTGTATTAGCATTTTCACAATCATTTTCCAAAGGATTAGCCACTCAACTTGTCACGCCACTCGATCCTAGCAACGATGCAAAGTTAGATCACTCAAGTGGCACTAGATGACCGATATACAAACAAGTTTGCCCCTCTTGATAGTACGGCCATCTATCCTAAACCCGGTCATAAACTTCTCTACACACCTATGACCGGTGAAATGAAATGCCCTAGGTTATACCTTTGCCTTGCGCATTCCATTCCATCTCCTCCAACGTCAATGCAACACATGCACCAACACGATCAACAATGATATGATCCACTTCATATCATCACGTGATCATATTGGTTCATCGATCTTGACTTCACTTGCTCTTCACCGTTGCCATTGTCCATCGGCGCCAAGTCTTACTTAAGCTTCACCGCCACGCGGTCCATCACTCCTAAGCCTCCGACTTGCCCTTCACGCTTGCAACCGGTCCATCAAGCCAAGTCTTGTCTTGATCTTCTCCACCTTGATCACATGACTTAATGTCATGTCTCATTTGCAATAAGCTCCTTCATCATCACATGTGTGAGCTTTGCAACATCTCCAAGCCATTGTCACCTTCATGGCATATGTTGCTCACACACATATACCTGTGGACTAATCACCTGTGTATCTCACATAAACACAATTAGTCCACCTAGGTTGTCACTCAATTACCAAAACCAAACAAGGACCTTTTCACCGCCATCCCCGACTTCGCCCTCAGTGCAAACCTCATGTTCGTGCACCACCGCCGTCTGGCCTCATGCTTTTGGCCGGCATGCAAGCTGCTTCGTGCGCCGTAGCTCGCCTCCCAAGTTGTCCTACTCGGCACCACGCTCACGCATCTCGACCCAGCGTTGTTCGCGGCTGGCGGCGACGGTGGTGGTGGAAGTCCGAGTCGCCGCCCACTTCAAGCGCGGCGCGGTGATGTATCTCCCGCCGAG